GATCAAGATGATTGATTCATTTAGGTTGGAATGTTAAGTTGTTTTTGGATATTTAAGATTATAGTTCTAAACTTTATATATTCATTAGCGTTTACCCACTCACTTGAGATGAGAGTAATAAAGTGTCATTAATATCAATACGAAAATATGTAAATTTACACCATGCCATAGAAACTACAGCCCATCAGGATACAGGAAAGGTGTATATTTAACAGTATTACATCCAACCGTCCCATCATGCACTGCGCATATGTATTTATTGTGTTGACCCCTGTGTTTTCTATGGCATGGTATGAAATAGTCACTCTCTTGGTATACCGTGGAATAGGCCCTTTACGGCTAAGCCATCACGTGACCTATTTTTCATAAAATTATGGGCTATAACTTAATGAATGCCACAAATGGAAAAAGCGTGTTGAAAATATCAAAATGGCCAAGTTTGAGGCCCCTGTCATTAAAGGATGAGATTTTTTGACGGTCTGAATTTTTGAAAGAATAAGATTTGTATGGAAAAAGTTGTTGGAGAGCAAGGCTTTGCTCTCCAGCAACATTTTCCATACAAATCCGCTAAATTTTCCGAATATTCAAACTACTCTTTAATTCCTGGGGCCTCAAACTTGGCCATTTTGGTATTTTCGATGCGCTCTTTCCATTTCTGGCATTCTTTAAGTTATAGCCCATAGTATAAAAATTTTCTAGGAAAAATTTAGTCACACGACCCCAGCTGCAAAAGGCCTATATCCCCTTATATTTTCTTGAAATACACACTTGCCTAAAGGCTCTGTGTATGCCAAGAAAATACTAGTGACTTGTGGGATATTCCTTGATATAGCACTCGAAGGTTAAGTCTGCATACGAGGCAAGTGGCCCATCAAGCCACAGCTAATCCTGGTTTCTGTAACAGGAAGTGTCTAGGGATTTCTATCCCCCCCACCCTGAATGGGATGCTAGTCCATCGCAGGATTACCCCTAGCGATGAGTTTGCCAGTACCTATTATTTTATGCACCTGGGTGGAGAGAGGCACTGTGAGAGTAGAGTGTCTTGCCTGAGAACACAATGCAATTTCCTCAGCCAGGGCTTGAACCTGGACTGCTCGATCTGGAGGCGAGCGCACTAGCGATGATGCCACTGCGCCTCCCCAATATATCATTTAAAAGCGTTGCATAACTAGTATGTATATATGGTACATTTTCCTTTTCATCTTCTAAACAGAAAGAGATCTCCAAAATGAAGCTTTGAAAAAATTCCAAGTGAGAAGCATTTTGTCCAAGATTTATGTGTATAGATGCCATGACTACATGCAGTTAATAGCATTGTCCCACATTTTGCCAGACTTCTTGATGGAGCATACTAAGGCAAGTTAAAACACAGGAACCATAGCACTGTAGGCATGCAATGCATGCTCAGGGTATACTGCATGCAGAGAGTTCAGTGTTAATGTAGCTCTTTGCACATCTGCAGACCTATTGTACTAGATAATTGTGGAAATTACATTTTGACTGTACTCGCCATTTGCATGAGTGACTCTCAAAATGCACTCACCCGGTGTCATTTTCAATTGCCCAGAAAGACACCTCCAAATCTATAGATCTGCAAACTGTTTTTCTTCCCTTGTAGAATTTTGCCATTTAATCAAATACTAATAATTATGACTTTATACTTTTCATTAGCTGTTTACAATAATATTAATTTTAAAAGGGCACTTGTAACAATTGGATGCATGGGGTCAGGCTTTTAGCCAGATAGGTGTCCAGGCATCCTGTGGACACTACGTCACTTATTAAAGAAAATTGTTTTATTTTTCATATGTTGCCTTATGAATTGTTCATTTGAGCAGGCCCTATAGCACAATTTTGATACCCACTTCTCAAATTCTGGCTGAAAGCCTGCAAGGGGTGCTGTGCTTCTTTAACAATTTTACTTGTTTTTGAAACATTTCAAAGTCCCTGCTTACACTGTACATGTGGACAGAGGTTTAATGAGAGTTATTGATTGCAAAAGATTGCTCCTTTTCAACTTATAGGTAAAACTCATTGTGGTGGACAGCATTGCATTTCACTTTCGGCACGATTTTGAGGATCTTGCTTTGAGGACAAGACTTCTGAATGGATTAGCGCAGAGCTTTATTAAAANAAGATTTATGTGTATAGATGCCATGACTACATGCAGTTAATAGCATTGTCCCACGTTTTGCCAGACTTCTTGATGGAGCATACTAAGGCAAGTTAAAACACAGGAACCATAGCTCTGTAGGCATGCAATGCGTGCTCAGTGTATACTGCATGGAGAGAGTTCAGTGTTAATGTAGCTCTTTGCACATCTGCAGGCCTATTGTACAAGATAATATTGTGGAAATTACATTTTGACTGTACTCGCCATTTTCATGAGTGACTCTCAAAATGCACTCATCCGGTGTCATTTTGAATTGCCCAGAAAGACACCCCCAAATCTATAGATCTGCAAATTGTTTTTCTTCCCTTGTAGAATTTTGCCATTTAATCAAATACCAATAATTATTATTATGACTTTATATTTTTCATCAGCTGTTTACAATAATATTAATTTTAAAAGGGCACTTGTAACAATCGGATGCGTGGGGTCAGGCTTTTAGCCAAATGGGTGTCCAGGTATCCTGTGGACACTACGTCACTTATTAAAGAAAATTGGTTGATTTTTCATATGTTGCCTTATGAATTGTTCATTTGAGCAGGCCCTATAGCACATTTTTGACACCCACTTGTCAAATCCTGGCTGAAAGCCTGCAAGGGGTGCTGTGCTTCTTTAACAATTTAACTTGTTTTTGAAACATTTCAAAGTCCCTGCTTAAACTGTACATGTGGACAGAGGTTAAATGAGAGTTATTAATTGCAAAAGATTGTTCCTTGTCAACTTATAGGTAAAACTCATTGTGGTGGACAGCATTGCATTTCACTTTCGGCACGATTTTGAGGATCT